TTCCCAGGTGCTGGTCCCAGTACTCACTCTGCATCCAAACTCCATCTCAGTGTCTGCCCCTGAGGACTGGCCTGGGACAGCTCTAACAGGACAGAGTCCCTGGCCGGAGGTGACCACGGTGCAGCCAACGGAGTGCCATGCTCCCTGCAGAGTCCCAAGCCCGGCCTGGCACAGCTAGCCTAGCTCTCGGCTAGACAGGCCGTGTCCTGTGGCCCTGCCCATGTCCCTGCCCAGCACTGGCCAGTGAAGGCAGGTGCTGGCGTCTGGAGCTGGCCGTGGGAGGCTCTGCTGGGCTCAGTGTGAACGGAGCCCCGTCTAACCCAACAGCACCAAACGGCTCCCCACTAACTGCAATGATCGTGAAGCCAGATCAGCAGGTCTCCCAGCCCCCACCCAAGGGAGCTGCAACTCCAACCTGAGAGAGGGGCGTCCTGAGTGCCCCCCCAGTCTCACGGCCCCTTGGCAACCCTAGCCCTAGCCTGCTTCAGGCTCCTCCATCCTGAGGGCAGGCACAGCTCTGTGTTGGGGTTGGGGGCTCTGTAGCCTCCTGGGGTCCAGAGGGGGGTCTCAGGACTCCAAGTTAATCAGTGAGTCAGCACTGCCTAGGTCCTTTCCCTTCCCTCCCCTCGTCGTCCCCCACCAACAGCTGCCCAGGCCTGAGCCAGCCCAGGGAGGCCGGAGGGAGGAGCAGAGCCTCAGCACCACTAGGGAGCATTTTCTGCTGGGGCGGGACCTGGCTGCAGCCCCTCCATATCCACCCCCTACCAAAGCTCCCCGCTGCCCGGAGCCCCTCCCTGCTCTGGTGCCCACGCTGCATTTACTCAACCTTAGGTCCTGAACTGCCAAGATGGGACCACCCACCCCCCAGCTACCCCATCTCTGCCCACAGGTACTGTACCCAGCCCAGACAAGGCCAAAAGCAGCCCCAGCCCGACCAGAAGAAGCCCTGGCAGGTCTCCTGACCCCTGCAAGGCCCCTAGGCCGCCCCCTTCTCCAGGGAACTCCCCAAGGCTGGGCGCTCTATGCTCCCCCGAATGGGTCTGCCACAGGAGACCTGACCCGGTGACTCCACTGCCTTTGCCTACCCTGGGGCAGTGCTGCTCCGAGAGTCCTGGCCAGGACCCCAAGGCTTGGCACCAGCCCTCACCCCAACCAGCTGTACCCCAGCTCAGATAACCACCATGCCCAGATTCAGCATGGGCAGCTCTCAGCCTCAGAGATGGGGTGGCCTGCGACCCAGGCCCCACCCCCACTTCCTGAGCTGCAGATGTCTCCCGGTCCCCTGCCCAGGCTGCTGAGTCAGTTGTGAGAGGCTGTCCAGGGAGTGCCCTTGGCCCACAGGGATGCAGAAGGCTGTGGTGGGCCAGCCCTGGGCTGTGGGTTCCTCGGGCTGGCAGTACAAGCCTCCGAGACAAGCCTTGCTCTGGTCATAAAGTTCCACCCTCCGAGTGTGTCAACTCGACTGACCCATCTGCCTTATCAGTGACCCATCGGGGCTGCACACCTCTCCCAGGGCAGGTCACCCCACGGCCACCCAGCACCGAGCTCCGACTCCCAGCGGGGGCTCAGGCGGCTCCCTGCCCTCCTGCGCAGACCTCAGACCTCGCTGAAACCTGACCCCGCCGCAGCCTCTGCGCTCTGCCCCCCACGGGAAGGCCGTTCCCCTCTGGCTCACGGTTCCCTGCGCTTGGCCCTGCCACATGCACACAGCAGGTGCTTAACACACTCCGAAATTAACACACAGAACGGTGCAGGGCCCGGGAGCGCCTTCCCACCTGTTCTGGGGCACAGGGCGCCCCTCCAGCCTGGCTCGGGGGCCTCCCGGGGTCCCTGCCAAGCTCCGGTCCCCGTCTGAGCGCCCTGCGAGGCAGAGTCCGGTGTCGTTGGCCTCGGTCTCCGGAACAACACGGGCACGCGGCCGCCCCCGCCAGCTCCTGGAGCCACGAAAGAAGCCCACCCGGCCCGACTCCCGAAGCCCTCGGACTGCGCCGCGCCGCGGACCTCCCGGGAAGACGCCGCCCAGCCAGGCCCCGGCCTGTAAAGAAACGGGATTTCCGTCACGGCGGGCCGCCTTCCCCCGCGAGCCGAGAAAGGTGTGGGGAGGGTGTTGGGGGGAGGGAGGAGTTTGTG